AAAGCTTTGTTGGCAGCACAGTCTTCATGAACATAAGGTCATTTCCATGCCAACATAAGGAATGAGAACAGGACTTCAATGTATGATGCTTGTATTATTAATTTATATGCTTGCTGAAAAGTAACAAAGTACTACGGTAGTCAAGATATCAAAATCAATCTTTTAATATTCTCTTGAATATAAAAATGCTTAAAATACCACCCCCCAAACCAACTAAGGAAAAACTGGACTTTTAACAGAATCTGTGTTCAGTGAGAATTCCTGAGAAATAAACATTTTTAACAGTAAATTGAACTGTTTTCTTTAATGAAAACAAAGTACAAAGACAACTAGCTAGTTCAAGCATAGCAGGATCTACATGGCAACCTTATAATTATTGAAAGAAATTCATCAAAGACTAGGATCATAAGATTTAGAGCTAATAGAGACCTTTGGATCATCTTGTCCAACCCCTTCATTCCACAGATGAAGAAGCTGCAGCTCAAAAGGTTAAATCATTTGCTCAAGTTCATATAATAAGTAGCAAAAACAGTATTTGAACTCAGGTCTTCTGTCTCCAAATTCATTCCTCTGGTACATCACATGCTTGAAATTACTTCCTTCATTCAGAATACAATGAGTGTCTATAGCATTTAATGCACTTGCAAGTATGGAAATAGATAAAAACATAAATAAGATACAGTCCCTATCCACAAGGGACTATCTAAGAAGGAAAAATGATGGGACCAAAAAAAAAGAATACGGTTAAAACCTTTGAAGAGTAACCTAGGAGAGGTAGAATAACTCCATAATTAAAGCAAACACTAAATGTGACAATGCATTTGAGTTGTTAATCTGGTTAATTACTAAATATTTCAGCAGCAACAACCAACACATTGCCTTCATTGCCAGGTTGATCCACCCCAACTAGATTGTAAGGTCTTTGAGGGCAATGTTCACCTATCAAACTTTTCTGAATCCTTCACAAAATCTAGTACAGTTCATAGTAGGTCTCAAGTTTTACCAAATAAAATCAAGAAATAAGGATTTCAAATTCTGGTTTAGCCATCTACAACCCTGTTCACATAAGCTATGACAGAATTTCAACACTTTCAAATACACAGACTTGCTTTTCAAACCTTTTTTGGTGATCTTTGGATTTCCTTCAAGTAGGAAATATAAAATGCTTCCAAGTAAACTATGTATATGACAGAACCACAGAATATTAGACCCTCAAGGGATTTTAGAGATTTTAAGTCCATAGATTCCAATCCAATCATTTTATAGATGAGGACAATGAAGCACAAAGATGTTAAGTAACTGCCCAGGGTTATATAGCGAGAGTGTGACATAGGTATCACCTCTGAGATGTGTTGTGAACTCACATCTTCCTGACTTCAGGTCTAAAGTCCTAGTCCCACCACCACACCAATGATCATCTCATCCAAGTCCTCTAATTTTAGATTTAAGTAAAATGTAATCCAGAAATGAAGCAGCTTACCCAATGTCACAAAACATTAGTATAAGCGTTAGCATGATCAGTAGTAGTAGTAGTAGCACTACCAGCTGAGTATTGAGATCAAATGAAGAATAAAACTGAGAAATACATGTTTGCCAAATATTTTAACCAATATCACAAAAGATGCCATGTTTAAGATCCACAGAAAATTTAAAATGCATTTATTAAGTGACTACTATATAGCACAAGGTTTCTTAACCTTTTTTGTATTATGAATCCCACTGACAGTCTGGTGAAGTTTACGGACCCTTTCTCAGAAAAATGTATGCAACTGCATTAAAAAAAAAACCAATTATATTGAAATATAGTTATCAAAACATTTTTCTTCCAAAATAACAAATTCACAAACCCTAAATTAAGAATTCCTGTTATAGAGGAACCTTTGCAAGATTTTCTCATGATGGCAAGGTTTTACAAATACTCTTAATTGCGGATGACATGATATTAATTGCATCATGTCACAGAACAAGTACAAAGCCTCTTCACTGAATTCCATAGCAGCTCAAAAGAGACTGGTTTAATTATCTGCACTGAAGAAAAAATGTTTACCAAAAATGCTTATTTCCCAGATTATGACAAGCAGTTGGCTGGTCAGCACATCCTGGACATTAGATAATTAAATCATAATCCACCCAAAAAAGTAACAGAAAGTAGATAATGGGAATATGTATGCCCTAATCATTATTAACGATGTCTCAAAATAGGCAGTGTTTCTTAAGCTGTGAGTTTATGGGGTTGCAACCAACAGTTTAAGAAGTGCTAAAGGGGTAGGAAGTGAAAAAAGTTTAAGAAGAAAAGTTTAAGGTATGTGTTATGACTGGAAAAGAAAGAAGGCTGGACAGGTTATGTAACAAAAATGAGTTAATAAATGGACAGCTCAATTGGTATTTTGGAATAAATAGGCATTTATTCAGCATCTACCATGCACCTGAAAATGTGCTAGATACATGAAATTGTCCCTGCCCTCAAGGAACTTACATTCTATAGCAAAAGACAAAATATACATGTTATTAAAATACACACACGCATATACACTCATATATAAGGTAATTTGGGGAGGACTATCACCTTGGGTGATCATGAAAGGTTTCATGTAGGAAGTGGCTCTTTAACTGAACTTTGAAGAAAATAAGGGAGTCTTAAGAGTCAGAAATGACAGGGTATACATTTCTGGTATGGGGAGAATACCTATCAAAGGCATGGACATGAGAGATGGCAGGTCACGTGTAGTGTGATGAAGAGCAAGAGGACTAGTTTGGCTTGTACCACTGACTGGGTAAAAGTGAGTAATATGTAGTAAGTCCAGAAGGTAGGTTGGAACCAAGGGCCTTAGAATGATAAACAAGAGTCTGTTGGTACTTGGTACATGACCAGACCTATGTTTTAGGAATATCACTTTGGCAAGCATGTAAAACATGGACTAGAGAACGGGGATATGAGGCAAAAAGAACAAGTAGGAGGCAAGTCAATTATTCACGTGGGAGGAACCAGGACTTAAACTAGTAGTTAGACAAGGAAATGGAGAAGGGATAGAAATTGTGGACACAGAATCTACAACTGATTGTATACATAGGGTGAGAGTGGGTGACAAGTGAGGATGACTCAGAGGGTGTGAATCTGTTGACTGGAAGGATCCTGCTGACAGAGAGAGGCAAGCTTAGAAGAAGGGTGGATTTTGGCCCGGTTTCTATTGTGGGCCTACTAACTTTAAGATGCCTATGGGACATATAGTTCAGAATGTCCAACAAGAAACTGGTGATACCAAACTGGAGCTTATAAAAGGGACTAGGGTTAAATGCAAAGATCTGGAAATCATCTGCATAGAGACCATAAAAACAGGAGAGCTGATGGGGTGACCAAGAGAGAGTGTAGAGAGAAAAAAGGGCTCCTGACAGAACTTCAGTTAAGAGACTGAACATGAATGCTGTTCCAGCAAGAGATTAAAGGAACACTGTTAAGAAGAAAACTAAAAGAGAATGATGCTGTGAAAGCTGACAGGGGGAAACAGTATCTAGGAGGAAAGACTGGTTAAGAGTATCAAATGTTTCAAAACGGTCAAGAAGGATGAAGCCTGAGAACAGGTTACTGTATGCCATTTGGTACCCCAGAAATACTAAGAATAATGAGTAGGATAGTAATTGGGGGAGGGGGGGAACTGTTTCATGTTGTGGTTGAAAGGGGAAACAATGATTCCTAAGCTCTGTTCGGAGAAAAGCCTTGGGTCAGAGTGGCGACAGGCAAAGTAGACGAGAAAGGCTCAGGAGGTGCGGAGGAAGCACCCGCGAGGGCGGGAGTAAGGAGCCCGCCGAAGGTCCCCCGGGGCGGCCCAGAGCATTAAAAAGCCCCGCTTCTCGCGTTAGGTGGAGGGAAGCACCAGGGTCCCCCGCCTCCCGCCCCCCTTGGTGAGGGGTGGGGGAATGTCAGCTCCGCAGGCCCCCTCGGGGCGCGAGTTCAGGCTGGGCCCGGCAGCCCCCAGGCAGTTCTCCCCAGGGGGGAGGCTCCAGCTTTGCCCGCCGGGGCCGGAGAAAGCCCGACGCGAAACCCCGACCGGTCACCCCGCTCTCTCCACTCCAGAATGAACCGAGAACCTCACATCGCCCAAGAGAACCCGGTCATCGTTCGCGGAAGGGAACCCCAAGCGTAACCGCTCGTCTTGCACTCACCTTAGCGTGTCACGCGAAGAAATCCTGGAGACAACCGCGACACTTCCTCTTGCTGCATGGCGAGTATCGCGAGACTTACGGGCTCCTCCGAGGGTCAAAAAACGTCAGCGACCAGAAAATCAGCCGAAACGGACATTGACTTGGAAATTCGCGCTGGAAAGGATTTCGGTGGTTGTGTGATCCAGCTCCTACATTTTACAGCAAAAGTAACTGAGGTCCATCGAGGTTGTGTTGTGACTTGTCCAAAGTTACCCAAGAAGCAATTATCGCCCCCTCTTCTTCAAATTACTTTGTATCCACTTTGTATTTACTGTTCTGTCATGATTTCCTCTTCTCTCTCCCTGCCTCCTCCAATAGTATGTAAGCTCCTCCAGGACAGAGACTGCTTCATTTTTGCCTTTATATCCCAGGCATCTACCACAGTGCCCGGGAGCTTAATAGGCGCTTAGTAAATTGCTTGTTGAATGAAGTGGCAGAATCAAGATTCGATCCTAGGTTTATTGTATCTAAATCATTTCAAGAAGGAGTTTGATTGATGGGAAAGACGCCATCTCAACAATAATGAACAGGGCAAGGAAGACCAGGGACCTCGGATAGGGGGTGTGTGTGTGTGTGTGTGTGTGTGTGTGTGTGTGTGTGTGTGTGTG